CCGGCACACAGACACATAAAAGTTCTGTTCATCACGTAAAAGAGGCAACACCAGACTTCTATATGCTTGATAAGTTATATATATATGTCAAATAGTTATTTAAATTAGCTTCAAAATCAGAAATTTGTCTAAAGGTCTCCCAAATCACTTACAACGTGCCTATCTAGGATAAAAACGCCGGAAAAGACTTGCAGAGCATCTTTCAGATAATTTGGGGGTGCCTTTACTTATGATTTATAGTGTTTGGGGGTACCTTCAGTTATGATTTATATTGTTTGTTGCATGTTTAACAATGTTTATGCCAGCTATGTAATCGTTTTTTTTTTTCTTTACTTGACCCAATTGTATGAATCTGTGTACCATCGCTTCCCCCCTAGGTAATGCCCGTAAGGGCCTTTAGGGTAAATAAATAATTATGATGTATATCTTTAAGGTGGTCAGCCTTTATCTTGTCAAAGCTTCGGTAATTAAATATATATTTATTATCATCAATAAATCTTACTTTATGAAGTTCATATAATCGCTTCAGACCGACAAGGAGGACGATAGTTGAAAATACGCCAGATGTTGAGCCAATGTGCGGAACCGTACTGTTTGGTTCACTATTTGCGGGGTATGAAAAAAAAAAAGAAAAAAAAAAGGACTTTTTGCTCCGATGATAGATGGGAAGGTAAATACACATAATATTGCTTTTTGTTTTCTAAGTAATCCCTTACTTGATGATTCTTCAAAAAGAAATGCATTAAGATGTATGCAGTGATATTCCAAGTTATACATAAATAGTGCGAAAGACGACGATTCCTTATATAAATCACATTTAGGCATCAGCTTGCGTGAGCTCGAAACTTCGCGAAATACTGCCTCTGGCGCGCAATTGTTTTGGGCCCTCACTTACAACTCTGTGCTTTATCAGTCACGCGCTCTAACATTTCTCTAGGCTGCCGTACATAATCGCGAGACTGCTATAAGTACTATACAGCTCTACAATTTATGCATCTAATGCTAGTATTACGAGCATTGCATTCCATCAGAAAACTGAACTGTTTAACATCGCTCTGTTGTTCCATTACATAAATCGGGTGATCGATCCATGGTTAACAACTATAGGCCAGTCTCCCTCCTTTGTAGTTTTTCTAAAGTTTATGAAATTGTTTTGCACACCCGCCTTTACGCATATTTTTGTCGGAAGATTATTCCTAAGCAACATGGTTTCATGAAAGGCCGCTCCACAGAAACAAACCTGTGTTCCTTCCTACATCAGATTGTACCATCTGTTCATAGCGGAGGACAAGCGGATGTAGTCTACTTTGATATGAGCAAAGCTTTTGACAAAGTTAATCACCGATTACTGTTGAGTAAACTCTGTAGTTACGGTCTGTCCCTTAAGTACTGTCGTCTCCTCGATAGTTACTTATCTCATCGGCTGAATTTTGTGCGAGTATCCGGCCGATTATCTGCTCCTTTTTTTATCTACTTCTGGGGTTCCTCAAGGCAGTAACCTCGGTCCTCTGCTGTTTTTGGTTTTTGTAAATGATCTAACTTCCTGTATTAAACACACGCGGTTTTTGTTATTTGCTGATGATATTAAGTTGTTTACAGCGGTTAAAAGGGTTGACGATTGTGAATGTCTTCAGCGCGATATAGACTCTATTTCGGCGTGGTGTTTTTCAAATGACCTACTTTTAAATGAATCAAAGACGAAAGTTATGTCCTTTTCTAGGAAGCGTGAAATTCTGAGTTTTCCCTATGTATTAGATTCCACCAATATTACTCGTGTTGAGGTCATCCGTGATCTAGGCGTTTTTATGGATCCTGCAATTAATTTCAACCATCACGTGACCACAATTACGAATGCTTCCTTTCGAGTGCCGGGAGCCATTACACGAGTGACACGCGATTTTTCTAAACCACTTTGTATTTTACGTTTGTTTTCTTCACTGGTGCGTAGTCGTGTTGAATATGCCTCAGTTGTCTGGAACTGTATTGGAGTGACAAATTCAGGTTTAATTGAGAGTGTTCAACGTAGGTTTGTTCGTGTTTTGTTTGATCGTTATTTTCAACCGAATTATTTCTATAGTTATGAGAGGATTTGTGAACTCGTGAAGTTAGACTCGTTGCACAACAGGAGAACAATTCGTGAACTTGCATACTTGTATAAGATTGTAAATGGTATAATTGACTCGCCAGAGCTACTCAGCCACAGCCACATCTATTTGCACGTTCCTCGTCAGTCTTGTAGACTTTATACTTTGTTTTATCCTATAGACTTTTATCATGCTGCACCCATAACACGCCTACAACTGACTTATAACCATTTAGAACAGATTTGTGCGAATGCTAGCCTTGATATATTTGATGAAAAGCGTAAATTTCGACAGTGTGTTGAGGCTATTGTTCTTTCCTAACGTTTCGCTTTTATCCTGTTTAGCGTTGTATTTCTGAAGGAATAAGTGCACCACTAAGGAGGCGTCAAGCTGTTGGTGGGTCACTGAAAATAAGAATAAACATAAACATAAACATGGTTTGCACATGATGTCATCGCACTATATGCTGGTGGTCATTGCGATCTGTTCCTGCTGAAAACATTAAATCTGGAGGTGGGAAATGCAGGCTGCAGAACATACGCACACAGTGCAAACCATGTATTTGAGAGGTACAAAGTTGTTCTTCTTTGTGCAGCGTCGTGAGGAATGGCGCGAGCGTCTGGCACGACAAAACGCGCCTTCTGGCAAGAGTGTTTTTCCAAACAAAATAGTTTCCGGGGCCACACTTTCTGGTCTGCGCCGGAGGTGAGGGGCACAGGAACCTTTAAGACACAGAATGTTTTTAAAACTATACCCGCCCCTTCTTTCTTTTTTTTTTTTTTTTTTTCGTTTTTCGTTGATCCTCCATATAATGGTATTTATTCCTGAGGGACTGCCTCCTCCGTTTGGGGGTGTTCATTCGACAATTATATTTCTCTCGCTTGTTAACAATAATTCTCCATTGTGTTTAATTTGCATTAAAAAAAAAAAAAGGACCTGTGAAGTTTAAATAAAATATGGAGGTGGTCGGAGCTTGGGGAGCTTGAGAACGTCACTCTTGTCAGAGCGGCTGCCAACGTTGGGCTGTCCCTCTGAGGCCATGCACTGGGATCTTTCTTTTCGGGTATTCCCTCCCGTACACACTTGTAGTTCTACGTGAAGGCGGATTAATAAGTCACATTTAGTCCTTTCAGTACTTCTAATCTCGGGGACAAATTTCTGAGGCAGTTCAGCAACAACGAGAACATCTGTGGGTGCCTCAATGATGTGTATACATGTAAAAGGGGTCGTGCAACATTTTTTGTACCTTCAGTAAATATCGCTCAGAAGTAATCCCTGCCGCTTATCACGTGCAAGAACATCCACCCCCCCCCCCCCCCTTTCCCCCTAAATGGCAGACGCAAAAAAAGAAAAAAAAGAAACAGTTTCCCCCTTGTCAACTCACAATTAGAACAAGCCACGCGATTTGAGGCAAATTATATATCGTCAGTGTTCATCCTAATCATGCGCTGGGGTCGACAAAGCATGGAGCATAGGCCGAGCTTCACATATTGTTCGAGTTGGGGTATCAACACCTTTAATCGAACACGAGCCGTTACCCGAATGTTTGGCGATGCTGCTTGTCACGAACCCGAGCACTAGACTCGGGGTCACGAAAATCGCGTACGCCACAATGTCACGTGACTCGGTACCAATTAAGTCGCGATGTCATATTAGGTTACACTGTTAACGACGTGAATCAATCTAGTAACGTTCTCAATTGAAACCGACTTGACGTAGTGAGTCACGTGACGTGACATTACTTGACAGCATGTCTTGACACCATGACGTCACGTGACCACGTGGTTAATCATAGCACCAATACACAAGCGCCACGAAAACTCACAATTTCTCGTACATTGCAATTCTGTATATGACGATTTGATCAATACCTAGAAATACATCTGCCAATTCTTTATTCCCAAATGTTCATTTTGTAATACAAACAAAAAAGAAAACGTTACCGTTTTGAATCGGTTACCTTTATTTTTTTTTTTTTTTACGGTTCAGTTCCCAAGGTGGCGGCGAAGATTTCGGTTCAGTTCCGGTTCGACTAAAAATAGCGGTTCGGTTCAGTTCCGGTTCGGCTAAAAATGAGGGTTCAGTTCCGGTTTGACAGCCTAATTTATATCATTTTGGTTTGTGTTCCCCACCTTGGAAATCTCCCCCCCCCCCCCCCCCCCCCTTTTTTTTGCGGAGAAAACCTCGTTCCAAGGGGCAGAAAGAAACTGCATGTAAAATATGTTTATGAGAAAATTCCTACGATTCAATAGAACAGCTGGAAAGCATCTTGAAGATCCACCTCATATGATTCGGAGGATCTCCAAAACCTGAGTTGACTGCCACATTTTTTTTTTTTCGGCCGCCAAACTGGGAAGGACAGAACATGCCAGAAAGAAAGGATGGTGGGCGCGCCCTTCAGAAATCTGCGGGCATTTTCCAATTTCACCGGTATTCTTTGTTTGATTGCAATCTTTGTTGTTGTTGTTTTGTCAAAAGTCCAAAAAGAAAACGGTACTTCTTTTTTCTCACTTACTCTCACTTTTTTCCGAAAAAAAAAAAAAAAGGTGGTTAATCTTGCAAAAGCTGTGTGGCGCTGCCTACGAGGTGCTTTTCGTCTCGCCTGCCGCTCTTCTCTTTTTTATGGTAACCTGGCTGTCCCCCTATATTGGAGGCTATGATTGAACACTTACGTACCAGCAGAATACAACGATTAGATAATGGATGTTTTTTTCTTGTTTGTACGCGCGCCACTGAGTGCCGTCTTTATGCAGACCAAGGTGCATTACTAGAAAACTACGTAACTCATGTTTTAGGCCGGGAAATCCAAGTATGCGGATAAAAGAAACGCATGCGACACGCTCAAACGTTTCTATATTATCGCAGCAAAAATATAATTAAAATAAATAAATAAAAAGAGCACACCGAGACTTCAACTACTGTTAAACTAAGATTTTATTTACAGTTAGAAAGTCACACGCTGGTAACACCACGTCACTTGTCAATAGATGCACACCCGTTCGGGAACTACGAGACATTCGGACAGAAACTTCGGCTTATGGTACACGAAACGAATCTGGCGGTCAACCCAAGTTGCTCACGTGACTCGGCGCCCCCCAAAACTACGAGGCTCCGTCGACAAGTGGCCACATTTTGGGTTTTTATGTGTTCGCAAACTGGGAGGCGAGAGGGTATAGCCGCTGATCACGTGCTAACCGATACCGACCTTCCATATGCTATGATAGTTTACCATCATAGTATATATGATATGATACTATGATATGATGGCGACATCAACGACAACTGGGTTTGAGCGGGACACTTTTGTCCTCGATAGACCCTTTTCAAAAATCACGCCAGGCAACACTGACGGTCGCCATTACTTGGGCTTAGACTTAGGATAGGTGGCGCAAGCTACCGCCCGTTACAAAGTGTATAGCCATTAACGTCTATCCGTCCATGGGCACGAAGCGCGTGATAGGACCCGAGTCCTTGCCGAGCGCTGACGTAGCCCTCGTGTCCAATTCGTGCCGAGATCACGTGCCCAAACAATGGCGGACCCGAATAATCGGTGCAGCCGCCACCAGGTGGCGCGTGGAATTTTGGAAAGGGCCTATTATTGATATGGTTTATAGACAGCTACACACGTCCCAAAAAGGAGAGAAGAAAAATCGAAAAAGCAAGCTCCAAAAAACTCAGTCAAGAGTCGACATGGACCAAATGATATGTCTTTCGATTTCTTGGCGGCGCGGAAGTGCTTTCGCACTGCGGCGGGGGAAAAGGGACGGGGGGACACTGCAGAAACTAACTGCAACCGTAATAATAATAATAATAATCACAATAATAATGATAACAACAACAGCAACAACAAGGAAACGTCACACCCTCTTAACGTGCCAGAAACAAAGAAAAAAGAGTGCACAAGCGAAGGCTAAGGTGGTTGAACGGTAATTCAGATTATGATATAGCACAGAGTACGTCAGTTCAGTGTCCCAATTGAAACGAGTAAATCTTAAAGGAACATCCCCAACTTTCCTGGACATCCCTAACTTTCTTGGACTCTCTCGGCGCTTCTCTGCGACATGCACTAAAATGAGAATTTCAACTGAACAACGAACATTGCAATGGTCCCCGGGAATATTTGAGATGACAATCATAAAATATCAATAAACAGTAATTAAATGTTTGGACACAGTTTTTGTTCCACAAATCTAAAAAAAACATTTTTTTTTTTGCACGGTATTTTATAGGTTGCATAAACAAAATTGTCAATTTCCGCTTTTCTTGAAAAAAGATTGTAAAGTTCCCGAGGACTGTAATTGCCTATGTGTCATAAAACACATATCAATTAGAATTTTGATCTTTCCTCAAAACCTTTTTATTCCAAGGAGTGTCCCAGAAAGTTGACCATGCGGGCACTTAGTACCATGTCTGTAATCGAGTTATAGCATAAAATAATTTAGTGAACTAAGATGCAACTTTTACGGAGAGAACTTCCAAAGAGAAGCTGCAGTGCTTAGACGTCACGTTCGGAGCTCAGCATGCAACAAACCGAGCAACCTGGGTTGCGAAGGACACACTAACATGCGAGACACACTTCACGTGCAACAAAACTGTGCACCGTCCCACAACGTCTTCCAACGTTGGCAGCGGAGGGTCAGCCCTACGGTCCTACACAGCAAACCATGTTTCCGACATTGCACAAAGGCCTGTGCAAAGAAAAATAACAACAAAAACACGCAGGAGATGATGGTACAAGGCGTGCTAGAGGGCACAACAGCTTTGGTTGGTGGAAGACAGAAAAACGCCAGACCGATTTGCACCCTGGGGATACAACAGTCCAGTTTAACCGTTCCGTAGCACGACACCACGGCACGGAACGTTGCATTGTCACATCATTTCACGAGGACCACTACCACGACACATCCCCAGAGACTCCCTCGTCAGAAGTAACGTTCGTCACGCCGACACACTTCATTCCCTCTGATGGCCGCAGGGTACCGTCCAATGCCCGACCAGCAGCCATTATCGACACTGCCGCTGTGCCAATGTGAGGGAAGGCGTGCACCTTGCAATCGCTGGAGCCTCAAGCTCGCAGCATTCGGTACGATCACGACGACGGCACTCGGTACACATTGTCTATTTGGCGAATTCACGTATACAGTGGAGTAATGTGCATCCCTGAAGTTGCATTTTACACTTGAAGTAGCTAATAGACGTTTGTGGGCTCACGGGAAAGACGAGGCACGATAGGAACTAGGTGCATCATCAGACCTTTTCAGGCATAAGCTGCAAGGATATTTGTCTTCTGCAGCTCCTTTGTCAGCTGAGCTTTTCTGGAAGCTAATTCTCTGTTTTGTACATTGACGTCTGCTAGGTTTTGATCCAGGTTTCTTCCTAACTACTAGGTAATTTCTCTCCATAGTGCCCAACTATCCAAGTGTAAAATACAGATTATCATTCAAATTAATGTCACGAAAAACATCTACTATTTCGTGTCGTAAGATTACACTCCCTTATCGATGAATATGCATTGTTTTAGGCTAGTTCACTCACTCAAATCAGTCATTCGCCAACCCTCCTAAATGAATGAGGGACCGCACGGATTGAGCTTCTTGAAGCGCACAAGTCATCCCTATGATCACAGTTCGCTCTCAGACGCACTGTCCAAATAACAAGGAGATCACTCGCATTTAGGAGATGTGATTGGGCTCCTGTCGCCTCCCTCCAACAATAGTTTCCTACTCCCCCCAGCTGCACTTTAATAAAGACTGCCCATTTGGAACCCTTCAGCTAATTTCAAGCATCTGTCAAAGTTCACACAGTTTCAGGGATGAGCAACTGAGCTGACCATAGACACTGTGACGTGACCTTTGAATCAAACACCTCAGGTGAAGATCAGTCTATGTGCAGCTAGAACTGCTCTTAGCTGGACCCAGCTAGATTGTCTCATTTTTAGCTGGACGTCCAGCTAGGACCAGTTCCATAATCCAGTTACAGCTAAACTGATTTTCACTTTTGATGTCTTTAGTCACCTCCGCAGTCAGAGTCCTAGGTGGGCACAGCCAAAAATGTTGAGTTCTCCTCGTAGCACGACTTGAAGCTGCTCTTGTAGTGAAGGCAAGTGCCGTCATACTGTTCGTAAACACACATTGTGGAAGTCATCGTAGCCGTCTCCAAGCCACAGTCAGAGTCACGGCCGTAGCCATTTTCAGTCACGTCCTAGCCACAGAGCCAGTCTCAGACAAAGCAGCACAGCTTCTTCCACCCTGTCTTCTTTCCTTTGTTGGCGGTCCTCCGGTCGAGGGAGAAGGCCCTCCTTCGGGGAAAGGGCACAAACCCATTGGTCAGCAGCCCCATGCTGCTGCTGCTACTGCTGCCGGGAGAAGGCCGTGCCGAACACGTCTGGGGGCGACTGCCCACCAGGCCGGAGTTGTGGGACCGGAGGGCTGCCACGATGGCCGTGTCGAACACCTCCTTGAGATTCTTCTGGGTGAGGGCTGAGCATTCCACGTAGGCCAAGGCCCCGTGCCGGTGGGCTGCCTGCTTGGCGCTCTGCTCCGGCACCGGCTGCTCCCCATAGCGTGCAAGTTCGATCAGCACCTGGAGTCGAAAAGGCAAAAGGTCTTCGGACAGGTGCTCTGACACGCTGGGAGTAGTCGTGCACCGAACACCAATGGTGGTTCGTGGTCAACCTTTCTGATATCTACTGTTGTGCAACGTGTGACACCCTCCCCCCTCAAAAAAGAAAAACAAAACAACAATACTGAGTTGCTCTTTTTTCCCACAATAGAGAATGCTTTGCCAAACACTCAACCTCAGCCCAAATGCGGCGCTAGCGATCCGAGCCAGGTGCTAAAGTTTTAGAACTAACCGTTATCACATCAAAGCACTATAAGCGATTTTTTGAAATTTTTAAGGGCAAAATGAGGTCCGTTCTTGGTAACTTGGACCATTCAGCTCTATGTATGCAAGGGCCACCATTTTCCCGTTAAAGATTTAAGAAAAATCACCAACTTTTTAATGAAATAACAGTTAGTTTTGAAACTTTGGCATCTGGCTGGGATTGCTAGCACTACATTTGGGCAGAGAATGAGAGTTCAACAATGCACAATTTATTTATGCAATCAAAATGTTTTTTGTTGTTGTTGGAGAGTGGGGGGGGGGGGGGGGGGGTGCAGCTACCTTGTTCAATTGCTGCTACAAGGTTACTGGATGAGGTTTCCAGTAACCCAACAGAATGATGGGTTACTGCTCCGCAAGCTGATTATCGATTGATGTTTCATACAGAATATAGTGGAAATTTACTTGAGGCTAATCTCTTTTTTTTTAAATAAATGTACACTCGGGCAAAAGGTTAATAACTCCACATAAATGTGGAGTTAACTTACTGTTTCGGGGGCTCTATCTATTCTTATGTGTAAAATCTGGAAAATCTGAACAGGTGTTTTGTACGAAAGGCATATGAATGAGTCATTGAATAGAACCACTGCTTAAAAAGCTGACAATTGCATAGCTCAGAAAATAAACCGAGAAGTTGGATGGGAAAAGTTAAAGGTGCAGTAGCTGCCTTGATTGTACTTGCATAAACCAGTGCTGACAATGAAACCAAGGTTTCCTGAAACAACATAGGCCTGATACAGTGGCGTAGCAAGGAGGGGAGCTTATGGTGCTCCAGGAACCCCCCGGAATCCAGACAACCCTATAATATGCACATGCATTTTGATCTCCTCTCCGCACCCCAAGTCATGGACATCCCAGCCACTTCAGCCCGCCCCCCGCCCCCCCCCCGCCCCCCGCCCCCCCCCCCCCCCCCTCCTCCCACCCCCCCCAGAAAATGTTCCTGGCTATGCCACTGGCCTGATATGCAATAAAGCTCATCTGGACTTTACAATCTTTATTGCGTCACTGCATTATTGCCACGATAGGCACGTCTTGTTTCTCCAACAGCTGTAAACTTTCTAGCAAACTTTGTTACAGGCTTTAGTTGATTTAGCTGGTATATATTACTGAAGGGTCAGCTTGAACATACAGAATTTTAGATAAATTTCGACAGCCGGTAAAATTAAAAATTGATCAATTTCCTCGCATAAATTTTCTTTGTAACTAATAGTTATTTTGTGTATGTGTCAAAAGCCTCTGAAGACGATGATTACGCACATGAACAAGTGTACCAAAGCAAGGTCGTTAGTTGGCCGTTTTGTCCTGTTCCGTCCTTTCTTCGTTCGTTTCTGCAAGTTTGACACTTCAGCTTTCCGGCGAAGTTAGCAAGAAAGTCTGCACGGCAAAGTCGGAAGCGAACGTGCGACAAGAGGGGGGGGGGCCCACCTTGACGTCCGAGCGGAGGTCGCACTGCGTGCCCACCAGGACGAAGGGTGCTTCAGGGCAGTGCCTCCTCAGCTCGGGCAGCCACTTCTGCGAGGCATTGTAGAACGAGGTGGGGCACACCACCGAGAAGCAGAGCAGGAACACCGCCGTGTTGGGGTAGCACAGGGGCCGCAGCGAGTCGAAGTCGTCCTGCAACACAAGCACGCAACCCCGTGTCAGTCAGTCTGCATTTATGTGCAGTGTGCCTGCCCCCCCCCCCCCTTTTTCCCCTCCAAAAAAAAAATGAAAACAATTAGTGAGGCAAAAACTGTATACAGAAAAAAAAAAAAAAAAAGCCAATTGCTTTTTCTTTGTTTTAGCCGCGGGATTGGCGGTTGAGTGTCTTAATGCACAACAGCTCGGAGCACGCAGAGTGAAAGCTCCCGCTGCAGAACCCAGCGAGGGGTGGGGTTTAAGACCCCCCACCCAGCTCGTTTCGATCTGCATGAGCATCGTTCCGTCGTGCACCACCACAGCTTGATGCTTGTGGAAGACCCTAGTCTAGCAGTCGTTGTACTGCGCTGGCTAAATTTTTTTATCTACGGCTGATAGACCAGATTGGGGCTGACTGATTTTCTATTGTCTAAACACACGCTCAATAAATTTAAGAAAATAAAGAGGGCACCAAGTACCCTGCGCACATTCGAGAAATACTCAATTTATCATATAAATTAAATATCGTGCAGACTGAATGAAAGGACGCTGTTTTAGTATAGTTTCACACATACGGACCATAATGAATTAAATAAACTCGCCGTTCGAGGTCAGCGCTACGGGGACGACGTCATACACGACGCACGGTTACATTCTCTGAAGCGCCGACTGCGTGACTGTGCAGGTTTTAGGAAGCGAATGGGCGGCGCACAGCTGAAGACTGAACCGAATGACGCCATTTTGTTCCAGCGGAATGTGCTTCGCCATTTGTATTGGTGGTCGCTACTCGGTAAAAAGAAGCATACCGAGGGACTTTCGGCACGGTCAGTGAGCCGCGACACAGACGACAGAGACGACGCGAAGGGGCACACCGCGCCACGACGTCACGTGCTTAGTCATTCCGGGCAGGGATCTACGCCTAAGTAGAGATAATCAAGAGCACGCCGAAAACGCGCCGATTGGACGAGACGACCCGTCTCACCGAGCGAGCGGACCCCCTGAGCGCTCAAACGTAATATCTATAAAAGAAAAAAAAAAAAAAAAAAGAAATACACTGCTTTTCTTAATCTGACGGAGCGGTAGAAGCTACGTGCTCGTTGGACCAATCGTATCTCGATCTTTCGTCGTGTGATCACGCTCCCTCCCATACCCACGCGCAGAGAGAGAGAGAGAGAGAGAGAGAGAGAGAGAGAGAGAGAGAGGTCAGGTGATGGAAGGAAGGCTGCCAACTGGTGAGGTGGGAGCCCGTAGCTGTACCCGCACTATCAGCTTAGGGGTAAACCAAGTAGAACATTCGCGCGGTCTTAGCCGATTATTAATCGTAGCTGGAAGGTGGCCGAGACGTGCAGATCCCTTCTTTCGCTGGTAATCAGCGGGGCGCTGATTAGAAGCCGCTGTGCGTGGCACGAAGCGTCCTCCTCATTTTTCGGCCCATTTAAAGAGAGGAGGAGGAGGAAAAAAAAAAAGGGGGGGGGGGGAGGTTACGAGCGCTTTGTATTAGGACCTGGGTTTTAGTGGCGTATTTACGGTCCTTTGATGGGCCAAGCTAGTAAAAATACATTAGTAGGACGATGTGCGTACGTGGCGTGGGTGTTTTGTTGATGAGACATAAGTTTTTTTTCCCCCTGTTTGATCAATTCAGATTAAACTCCAGTTGCAAGTGCCCTCTTGGTGTGTGTGTGCGTGCGTTTTCTTTTCTTGGTCCTCCTCTTTTTAGCGCTTTCAATCGTCACACCGGATTCTCTCTCTCAGTCTTCTCCTCTGCGCGTGATGTTACCAACCATAGCCTCCTTCCTCTACACTCAGAAAGCGCCTTGCAATTCGATGACAGAGCCATAGAGTGCCCGGTCGCAGATTTGGAGCGCGAGGATCTCGTAGCACAGAGCATTTCTCGGAGAGTCTGGTATTCAGCGCACAGCTTTTGCCGCGGCGAGGACCCGAAACATGGCTTTCAAACCCGGCGAGAAAAGAAGCAGTAGCCCGAGGAACGCGAGAAGCACGAGCGGACATTCCATCGCTCGGGACAAGTGTGTTTCGGCGTCTCGCCGCAGCGGGGCGCCCGTTACATGACTCTTGTCTGCCACTCTACCCTTTCACTTTCGGCGGCCGCGTCACGTGACGATCGGCAGGCTTTGTCAGAATAGAGGACGCTATGTACCAACACATAGCAGACAACAAGGCCAGAGCGCTGGGTTGCTTACGTCACAAGCCGGAGGCCAACGCGGGGACTGGATACGACGTGTCGAGTCTGCGTTCGGCTGGCGCCGTGTCCCCCTCACTGATTGGCCACGGGGGCCAGCCGAACACGCTGACGCAGCAGCCGTGACCAATAAGCGCTGACCTCCGATACATGGCGCCGCAAACTCCAGCGCCACGATTGGTGGTTTCCCCCACCCCACTCGCCTCCTCTCCAGCGTTCGCTCTGCTAAAGTGGAAAAAGCGGAGGGATTTCGTGGGAGAAGCTTGAACCTCTAAACTAAACAAGAAAAAAAAAAAAAAAAAAGTTCGCGACATTTATACATATATAATTCATGGCACAATTTAAGTGGAATCTATCTCCGTGTACATAGCTTGCATATAAACATTATCTGCGTATAAAGACAGAGAGAACGAGGAACAACTCATCAAATGGGCACAAACGAGGCTTCGAGGAGCAAAACCGATGGACGAGTGCACCCTTGGCGACGATCGACCCAGATTCGCGTGCAGTGTGCGTGTGTGTGTGTGTGTGTGTGAGGGGGGGGGGGGGGGACCACACGGCCTACGGACAGGTGTCGACCGTGAGACAACGCGACCTCCTCCGAAATCCAGAAAACTCTAGGTCCACAATTAGCCTGGCCGTCTTTTTTTTTTTTTTTTTTTGCCGACCTATTTTGTTTTTTCTTCGGCTCTTTACATTTTTAACGTTAGATACATGTTCGCTGTCGCATTCGGTAGTATATGTCGCCTTTTATTGCAAGCAGTGTACGACCTACCTTAAAGGGGTAGGAAAACGAAATTCCACACACACACACAAAAAAAAAAAAAAGGTTTTTGTTAGACACCACAAAAAATGTACCTCAATTTCGGACACCTGAGCATACGACAAGGTATACCTACAGAAGTCTCGAATTCCATAAATGCCTAATTACAACCACCGTAAAAAGGACATTCCAACGTCCTTCTGGGGTAACGTCGAAGACGAGAAAAATTGTGAAGCGTTCTCAAGCGTTTCCAATAATATGCTGGGAACGTTTTTCAAAGACATAGAAACCCTCTCGTCTTTCAAAGAGAAACGAAGCTTTATATTACACATAATTGCACAAACGAAGACAACGTTCTTCTGAGGTGGAGTCTAAACGCAAACTTGGACGCACCTCCAGGGCCGGTTTGCTAGAAACAGCGACTCAGCTGAGACTATATGAAAGAAAGCACTGCCAAAGCCAGCGCACGAGCTAAGCGAGGCTCGAACCGCGTCTCAAGACGCTCGCGCGCCCCAGCCTTTGCAGTGCTTTCTTTCACCTGCAGTCTCAGTTGAAACGTTGTTGTGGAAGGTCGGCCCAGTACCTTGCAGCTTCCCTGGGGAGGTTGGACTTCGCAAAAATAAACGTGACCTCACTCACTGTCTCTAACCTCCAAAGAGTAAAAAAGAAAAAAAAAAATGAGGCCCGAATTTCGACACAACCTCTTCGAAGACTAGCACGTTCACCAAAGAAGCACGAAGACCAGTAGCAGCTCATATTGACCGCGGCAGTTCGCAGCATACCGTCGTCTCGATGCCCCGAGCATAGATTCTAAGCACTTCGATGGGAATGTCCGAGATGAACTATATCCGTATTTGTTCACAGCTTTTCCCACTGGGAGTTTTCTATAGCTCAAGAAACTATTCTGATATCACGGGGGAAACTCTCGCAATCCGAAGGGGCCTTGAAGATCGCAACAATTCCAGATCCAAGTGGCTCGAACCAAATCTGTCGTTAGACGTTTAGACAGTGTGAGGCGCGGTTTGCCAGAAATTTCGGCGACACTGTTGCACGCTGTACGATACATTGAGACGGTGCAGTACCACTGGGGCTCTTCGACGTCTTCACGACGCAGTGGCGATACACGACCGCAACCCGATACGATGATCATCCGGATCGAAACGGGCACGGAATGGCGAATGGACCCGTAGATCCCTGGGTTCCGGAACGCGCGACACTTCAAGACATGTATACGCGGCAGCAAACAAGAGGACAAGGCCCCGTAGAGAAAGAAGCGCGCGAGGCATCGGAACGTCACCGCCCGTCTTTTGACCCCCGACCAACTCCTCATTGTACGTCCCACCATAGTAAAGCCACGTAAGGCACGCCTCGCAAGTCAGGTGGAGGAAGTGCGAATCACACTGCGCAAGGTAGTACGGGAAGGACACAGTGCGAAACGGTCGCCCATTACACACAGTGTCCTTCAGTTATTAGGTCATTGTCTCGCAGCAGGCGCAAAGGCGAGCGTGCGGGCATAAGCTCGTCATCTAGCTGCGGTTTCGCAGCGCGCGCGTACACCGAGAAGAACGAAGGCACCCCCAGAACAAAGGAAAAAAGCGAGACAAGGAGCGCGTCGAGAACAAGAAACGAGCGGGCGTCCCCTGACGTGGCCGACCCAAGTGCAGCAGACAATGCTCTTTGCACCGATGGCCTTCCTCGTGGACACGACAGTCTGGACGGTTGGCCACGTGGCTACTGGTCCAAGTGTAAAGAAAGCTTGTAACACATCTTCTTTTTTGTGAAAGTTTATGGGTTTCGTAAGGGTCTGTGAGCCCTGAAAGCGTCTGGAGTTTCGTTAGAGTGCGAGTTTTCTGCGAGGCTACGCGGTTTGTGAGAGAACCAGATTTCTAAAAAAGTCTACGAGTTTTGGGAGAGCGTATGAGCTTCGTGAGAATCTACGAGTTTTGTGAGAGGTGGTGACTTTTGCAACCGCAGGTAGAAAAAAAAAATCGAAGAGGCGCTTTGGCATTCTTTTATGTTGATTAGATCAGAGAA